GCGCTACTTTTTCGTGCTCGTTGACGACTACACGCGCTACACCACGGTGTTTCCCCTGGAACGGAAGGCCGACGTGCCTGACGTTCTTATCCCATGGGTCGTAGCTGCGCGCCTCCACCATGGTCTCCCTGTGCTGTGTCTCCACTCCGACCATGGCGGCGAGTTCGCCTTTGGTCGGCTTGGACAGTTCTGTCGTGCGGAGGGCATCACCAAGTCGTACACCCTACCGGACTCCTTGCAGCAGAATGGGGTCGCTGAGCAACGCATTGGTTTGGTCATGGAGGTGGCTCGTATCTCTATGATTCATGCCGGTGCATCCAATTTTCTGTGGCCATTCGCCGTTCGCTACGCCGCTTACCAGCTTAACCTCTGGCCGCGCTCCCAGCGGCCGCATGTTTCGCCGACCCTTCTTTGGACCGGGTTCCCTGGTGACGCGTCCGCGTTCCATGCCTGGGGCTACCTTGCTCACGTTTGTGCCTCTGGCACGGACAAGCTCACTGCCCGCACTGTCCCCGGTGTCTTCCTCAGTTTCCCCCTTGACTCGTCTGACTGGCACTTTTTCCACCCGCCGTCTCACCGCTTCTTTCAATCCCGTGACGCTACTTTCGACGATTCTGTCTCCTTTTCCACCGCTTTCCCCACCGTGGTCTCCCGGTTTCCCCTCCCCTGTTTCTGGTTTTCACTCCCCTGATAGCCCCTACTCACCTTCCTCCCCGTCCTACTCCGTCTGGTGTGTCTCACGTTACTCCCCTCCCGTCGGTTGTCCCGGTCGAGGAGTTGGCTGACTCTGGTGGCCCTGCGATGCCGTTCTCGCCGCCTGCCTATCCCCCGGTGTCTCCTCCTCCGCCGTCGCAGCAGCCGCTGCCGCCGCCGCCGCCATTGCCGCAGCCGTCGTCGCCGCCACAGCCGTCGTCGCCGCCACAGCCGACGCCACAGCAGCAGCAACACCCGTTCGCGGACACTAGGGGTGCTGGGGTTGAGGAGGGTGCTAGTCCTGGGGTTCATTTTGTGGCTTGTCTCGACAGGCCTGGGGGTGCCACCGGTGCTGGAGAGGGTTCTCGCTCTAGGGGTGCTCGTTCTGGGGGTGCTGGAGTGGAGTGTTCAGGGGGTGGCCGTGGTGTAGTTGGCAGTCTAGGTGTCGGCGTCGAGCAGCAGTCCTTGCCGGTGTCCGCCCTTCGCCTGCTCGGCCTTCCCTCCCCTGACCGCTCGCCTGCGCCTCCCCCGCCCCCTCCTTCTTTTCCTATCTACGGCCCTGTTTTCCCTCCACCGGACTCGTCTCAGGCTCGACTTCCCCCTCGTTCCCCTCTTGTGTCTCCTGTCTCTTGACCCGACACATCGGTCTCACAACTGGTCTCGCTGTCCCTCTCGTGCTCGTCCTGTCTCTCCTGTTCAACGTTCCCACCCTATGTTGCTTCGTTCCCACGCGTCTCGTCCTCCCCTCCTGCCTTCGCCTCCTCCATCATCGCTCGTTGTCAAGCCTCCCCCTCTGTCTGACTACCTTCGTGCCGCTCGTCCTCTTGTTCCTTGGCCCTTGCCTCCCTCGTTACTGACCCGTCTGTACTTGTCTCCAGTCTTGACGCTCTTGTCGTTGTTGTAGCTGACTTTGGCAGTGACGTCCTAGAGGACAGGCAGTACGAGCTTGACTTCCTGTCAGAGGCTGCTCCCCAGCTCTGTTCCATGCAACTAGTCCCTGAGGGTGACCCAGACGTCTTCGACATCCTGACACCTCGCACTTACGCTGAGGCGACCTCGGGACCCTGGGCCTCAGAGTGGATAGCTGCCATGGAGCAGGAGATGGCATCTTGGAGATCCACCGGCACCTACGTCGACGCAGTTCCCCTCACCCGAGGTGAACGTAGTTGATGGCCGGTGGCTCTTCAAGGTGAAGCGCCCCCTTGGAGAGCCGCCTGTGTTCAAGGCAAGCTACGTGGCTAGAGGCTTGAGACAGCGCGAGGGTGTGCACTTCTTTCAGACCTTTGCACCGACCCCGAAAATGACTACTCTTCAAGCGCTGCTAGATGTAGCAGCACAGCGTGAATAGGAGCTCCACTCCCTCGACTTATCGACTGCTTTTCTTAAGGGCAGCCTTCACGAGCAGGTCTACCTGCGCCGTCCACAGGGCTTCACTGGTACCTTCCCTCCTGGGACCCAGCGGCTCCTCCGGCGCCCGGTCTTCGGCCTACGACAGGTGCCCCGTGAGCGGCACGACACTTTGCTGACGACCTGGTCTTTGCTACTGCAGACAGAGACGCACTGGCCTGCATGAAGGCCAAGCTGCTGAGGAGACCGCCTGCATTGACCTAGGAGAGCTGCGTTGCTACCTTGGCCAGCAGATCTCCAGGGACAGAGCAGCGCGCACCATCACCCTCACACAGTCACACTTGGTGCGCTAGGTCCTTCAGAGGTTCGGTCTTCAATTCTCCTCTCCACAACCCACACCTCTGCTAGTAGACCACATGCTATCGGCTCCAGTTCCTGAGGAGTCAGTAGAGCCCAGTGGTCCTTGCGCAATGCTGGTGGGTTGCCTCATGTACCTGTTTACTTGCACTCGTCCAGGTCTCGCATACCCTCTCAGCATCCTGGCTCGCTTTGTGGCCCCAGGCAGACACCGACCATAGCACTGGACGGCCACTAAGAGGGTTTTGTGTTATCTAGCAAGTACATCGTGCATGGGGCTAGTGCTGGGAGGACGCAGACTTGTGGTCCTTACTGGGCAGACAGACGCTTCTTGGGCGGACGACGCCCAGACACTCAGGTCCTCCCAGGGCTACTGCTTTAGCCTTGGTTCAGGTGCCATCTCGTGAAGGTCCACTCGCTCCTCGTCGCCTGGTTTAGCTGTAAGGCTGAGATCTACGCTGGTGCCATGGCGGCACAGGAGCTCCGCTGGCTGACCTTCTTGCTCACCGACTTAGGTGAGCGGCCTAGCTCTGCCCCGATTCTGTACACTGACAACAGGGCCATGATCCTCCAGTGTCAGGAGCCTCAACTTGAGGGCAGAGCGAAGCACATCCAGCTGCGGTACTTCCTCCTGCGCGAGCTACATCAGCGTTGCCAGGCCCGCGTAGTACACTTGGCCTCCGGTGCCAACACAGTTGATATCTTTACGAAGGCGCTTGCGCGTAAAGATCATCAGCGGCACTGTTTGCAGCTTGGTCTAGTTCCTGTAGCTACTCACTTGCTAGGACCTTGATTGTGTACTCCTCTTTATATTTACCTTCCTGACTGGCCTTGTGGCTTCTCTTCTAGTGGCCAGACTAGTAGTGCCGCCCTGGTTTGCTCTTGTCTTGTTTGTACTCTTGCTGACTGGTCTTCGGACCCCTACCTCAAAGGTTGGTCTAGTAGTGCCACCCTAAGCTGCATGTTTCTTGCTCAGCACTGTCCCTTATCTAGCCTAGGGGGTGTGTCAACTTATGCATATGTTTATATGTAGAAGTTATAGGCTAGATAGGATTGTGTTCTTAGAGGGTACAACTCCAACTCTATATCACCCATGTTCTCACTTGTTCTAGTTCATTCTGCTATTCTAACAGCACCCTCCCAGCTTCTTGCTGATATCCTTATGCATAACCAGGCAGCCATGGCCCCTCCTAGGACTCTGGCCAATCGTGTTGAAAATCCACCCGTCGATACTCAGAATATTTCGGAACCCGAGGCGAAATTGCGGGTGATCGCGGCAACAAGCGCCGGGTAGAGTGCGACCTCGCCCTTTCTGCCCTCGACCTGTTGCTGCGCAGTGGCGAGGTCAACCAAGTTGACCTTGGTGAGCCACGCGCCAGCGAGCAGCAGGCGTCGCAAGTGGCGGACGGCGCGTCACCTGCATACGCCAGTGTGCAGAAGGCGCTGAACGGTAGGGTGGGCCCCTCGCGTCAGAACAAGTGAGGCCGCGGGGCGGCCTCGTCCAGCGCGCCAGCACCTGCCGCCCCTGCTTTAACCAGCGAATAATTGGCGGCACAGCTGGCGCTTTTACAGCAAAACACGCCCGCAGTTACAGCAGTTGCGACTACCATTTCTGCCTCCACTAAAAATGAAGATGCAAAAAAGGAATCGCTGCGTCATGCTCTTCCTTCCAAGATCGCCAACGCCGAGAAGGAACTCGCCGCTGCCACGCAAGACAATGCCAAGGAAGACATTGACTCCGACAATGAGGCTAGTGAGGCTCATACACTAATTCTTTTGCACCCACCGAGCACCTCCCACCTCTTCCTTCCTCTAACCCAACCATCCCGGCATCATCGTTCAACAACGTCGCGGAACGCGAGCAAGCCGAGTTCCCAGAAGACCTGTGAGCGTACCTGAAGCACGTGGAGCACAAGGTGTGCCACGGCGACACATCGAGCTCGCTCGAATACTTCGAGGTGGCGTACACGCTCATCGCCAAGCACTTCGAGCTCCTCCAAGTCACCGACACCTCCGACTTCAAGACGGCACACCGCTTCAAGCTCTACCAAGAGAAGTGTTGTGTGATGTCATCATATGCTATCACATTCTGTCTGCCTCCCATCCCATATTTTTCAACTTGCATGTGTGGTTTGAACGTGTGCAAGAATTTGTGTGTGATGTGTTCTGGAGTTTGGGAATGTGTTTTGTGTTATTTTGTTTGAGCAGGTTTTTTGTGATGATAGATCTTGAGAAGATCTTTCCGACGCAACGAGAATCCCTTCAATCGGAGCAAGAACGCGAAAGCTATGAAGATTCAAAGTTCATGAGCTTGCGTTACAATTGCGGCGGTTACAAAGTGAAGTTGTGGGGTGACTTTATATGGAGTTGGGACCTTTGGGGTTGGGTAAACTTGTCACTCTACTGTAACAGCTGCAAATAGGTTGGGAACAACCAAGCTAGGTTGGCAAGGGTGGCCAACTTGGATGGATTGGTTGGGAAGGGACAAAGGTCAAAGTTGAGGTTCCTATAGGGAGGGAATCTTTGTGCTTATGGGGTTTCCTTGGTTGGGGACTCTCTTGGGACCTTCCCTCTCATCCCTCTCTTCTATCCCAACCTTTCTCTTGCTCCTTCTAATTCCTTGTGAGATTCTTGAACTTTGATTGAACCTTTTGAGATTGAGTTAAGTTCTCCTCCTACAGCTTACCCCCTAATGCGTCGAAAGCCATAGCGTCGCGAATACTTCATCAATCAACGTGATTCAAATTGGAAACGGTAGCTGAGATTAAGAGCTACAACATATCCAAGTTTCGCGACATTCCAACGGCTAGTTTTTCGTCGACGTCGTTTCTTGTAAAGACGACTTTTCTGTCCAGAATTTCGGATTTATATTTTGAGTTATTCTAGCTCCTAAGTTCACCTAGACTCCGTCCTTAATCCTAACAAGTGGTATCAGAGCGATATTAAGGACATTGAGAGGAGTCTACAGAAGTGTGAAGACCCTTCTAGACCCACCATGGCCTGTGGGTGTGCCTAAGTGGTGTTCTAAAGGTTGGATGTGTCTTCCGCTAAGGGGAAACTCTGCCGAAATTTCGTGGACGCCGACACTTGTGAAAATATCGAGGGAGCTGAGTGTGGACAGCAAAGGGGAGCTGAAATTCGTCATTTCTCAAGGAGAAGATGAATGAGAGAGGAGGAGATGCTAATGGAAGAGGAGCTGTAGCTGAGAAGACAAGTGAGCCGCCGCCATCAAAAGTTGAAGCTTTGGATGGCTCCAACTATGAGGAATGGAGCGGACGGATGAGGAGTGCCTTCAAACGCTACAAGCTCCTGAAGATTGCTGTTGGGGAAGAGAAGATGCCGGAAGAAGGCGAAGCACGTGAACGGTGGATTGAGAAAAGCGCGGTGCTTTTCGACCTCATTCTTCAATCGGTCAACAAGGAGATGTTCGAGCACATCAAGGATCTTGTGGAAGCGGATGATTCGGGTCCAAGGGCGTGGAAACTACTACGTGATGTGGTTCAGCCCAACACTCTCCCGATGGTGATCGTGCTCGAGAAGGAACTTGCTGCCATCTCCATGCGACCAGGGGACGATGTGAAGCCGGTCCTTGACAAGATCAAGGACACCTATGCAAGGATGGCAGCAGCGGGCAGCAGTGTATCTCAGCTGCAGCAGTGCACCAAGATCATCTCGGTGTTGGACAACTCTTGGGACAACCTCATCCCCACCCTCAACTCTCAGCAAGATCAATGGACACCTGAGTGGCTAAGGCAGCAGATTCTGCAGGAGGACTTCCGCAGACGCCATGTGGGAGGCGGTGCTGCCACTAAGACTGCTGAGGGGTATGGAGCTGCAGGGCGCAGCAGAGGAAGAGGGGGTTGGAAAGGCCGAGGCCGTGGGAGGAGCTTTGGCAGAGGTAGAGGCCGAGGTGACTATAATGAGGGGCATGGGAGCTCTAGTGGCAGGGGGAGTACCAGAATGGAGGGCACGTGCTGGTACTGCAAGAAGGTTGGGCATCCTTGGTTCAAGTGCTTCAGCAGGCTGGAGGGATGGGCACCTCCAGGCATGAAGCCGCCCAGTGGTGAACGCGCACAAGGTGGCGCTGTGCAAGGCTCAGGTGCACAAGGTGAAGGTGCACAAGGTAATGCCTATCCTGGTTTGTTTGTTATGGTTGAGGATGTGCATGGGCATGAGGGTGATGTGGGATCTGTGGGAAAGGTTGTGATGCACCCTCTCACGCACTGGGTGATTGATTCGGGTTGCACCAGTCACATGACTCCACGGGCAGATTTGCTTGATGAGGTAAAACCCCCTGGGAAGATTAAGTATGTGGCAGCAGCGTCAGGTGCTTTGCTCCCCGTGATTGGTGTTGGGAATGCCAAGGTTAAGGGAGCTAATGGGGAGCTTGTGGGGCTTGGGAATGTTCTGCTGGTTAAAGGCTTGTCTGCTAACCTTCTCTCTGTGCGGCGACTGCAGAAGAGTAAGGCCGAAGTGACCTTTGGACCAACCAGCTGCCGTGCTAAGCTTGGGAAGAAGGTGCTGTGGAGTCTGGAAGAGGAGACCAGCTGCATCAAGGACCTGTGGCAGCTGCCCATCATCCCATGGAATGGGAAGACTCCAACAGCAGCAACGGCAGCAGCGGCAAAGGCAACAGCAGGAGGAGATGCAACTGCACCAACTGATGGGGTCCTGGAAGCAGTCAAGAAAGTGCAGCAGCAGCAGACACATAGTGAGGTGCTTGCTGGTGTGGATACGAGTGCGGCATGGGCTAAGGCTTCATCAAGGAGTGGAGAGGCCGATTGGGAGACATGGCATGAGAGGCTGTGTCATGTGAACTTTCCTATGCTACAGAAGTTGGTGAAGGATGGGAGCCTGAAGGGCTTGGAGGTGAAAGGGGGAGTGAAGGAGATTGGGAGCTGCCCTACATGCTTGGAGACCAAGTTCTCCAAGTTCCCCTTCAACAGCACTACAGGACCAGCCAAGACCCCACTTGCACTTGTGCACATGGATGTGGTGGGGCCCACAAGAGCCCCTTCCCTCTCAGGCAGCCGCTATTTCTTGACAATTGTGGATGACCACACTCGGGCAGTGTGGGTTTACCCTTTGAACAGCAAGGGGGAGGTGGCAGCGGCTGTCCTTAAGGAGTGGATGCCTAGAGCTCAGAGGGAATGCGGACACAAGGTGAAGGTGATCCGCAGTGACAATGGTGGGGAGTTCATTGGAGCTGATTTTGAGGGGGAGTTGAAGAGGAAGGGGATCCAGCATCAACTGACAGTGCCCTACAACCCGCAGCAGAATGGCGTGGCTGAGAGGTTCAACAGGACCCTGCAGGAGGGGGCACGCACTCTCCTTGGGCGTGCAGGGCTGCCTGATCCGTTTTGGGTGTCTGCATTGAGGCAGGTCGCCCTTGTGAAGAATAGGGTGCTGGCTACAGTTGGGGATAAGGAGTGGATCCCATATGTCAAGTGGTATGGGAGTGCTCCAGCTGTGAACATGCTGAGGGCATTTGGGTGCATGGTAGTGTTTCATGTGCCTAAGGAGAAAAGAGGGAAGTTGGAGGCTTCTGGAAGATGGGGTGTGCACTTGGGGATTGCAAAGGATCACAAAGCGTGGCTGCTATGGGACTTGACCACCCAGAAGCTGACAGTGTCAAGGGATGTGAAGTTTCTTGAGTCCCTGTACTACAAGGAATGGAAGCAGCAGCAACAGAAGCTTCCATCTACACCGCTCATTGTGGAGGTAGATGAGGTGCAGCAGCCTTCAAGACAGGTGGAGGTTGCAGTGTCAGAGGAGGAGATGTCTGGGGTGACTGAGGAAGGGGGAGCAGCTGAAGTAGAGCAGCAGCAGCAGCAGCAGCATGAGTCTCCACCTCGAGTTCCACACCCGCCTGAGCGACCTAGGAGGGATGTGCGCCCTCCAGTGAGGCTGACCTATGGGGGAAGAGGCAAGCCGAATGTGGTGCAGGCTGGGAGTGTGGTTGAGCAGATTGAGGAAGATGAGATTGCATTATGCTATTGGGCTGCAATTCCTCAACCCAAGGTACTGACGCTAGCTTCAACTCAGTGAAAGCGGATGGCACCAGCATTGGGGGATATGTGTGCTTGCTAGGAGGTGGTGCTGTGAGCTGGCGCAGCAAGAAGCAGAATGAGGTGGGATTGTCCTCATGTGAGACTGAGTACATGGCCTTACACCATGGGGCCAAGGAAGTGGTGTGGCTGAGGCGCTTGTTGGAGGAGTTGGGAGTTGGTCAGGAGGAGCCGACAGTTGTGTTCTGTGACAATGAGTCTGCTGTGAAGCTCGCCAAGAATGCTTGTCTGCATGGGCTGACAAAACACATAAGGCCTAAGTGGCATTGGGTGAGGAGACTCCTCAATAAGGAGGTGCGGCTGGAGATAGTGAAGACCCATCAGCAGGCAGCAGATATTTTCACCAAGCGTCTGGCGGAGGCGGATCATTGGAAGGGCATGAAGCTTGCTGGGATGAGTGTGCATTGAGTATGCATGCTTGAGATGTTGGTATGGTGGATGATGGTTGGCAGCCAGAGGGGGAGATTGTTGTGTGATGTCATCATATGCTATCACATTCTGTCTGCCTCCCATCCCATATTTTTCAACTTGCATGTGTGGTTTGAACGTGTGCAAGAATTTGTGTGTGATGTGTTCTGGAGTTTGGGAATGTGTTTTGTGTTATTTTGTTTGAGCAGGTTTTTTGTGATGATAGATCTTGAGAAGATCTTTCCGACGCAACGAGAATCCCTTCAATCGGAGCAAGAACGCGAAAGCTATGAAGATTCAAAGTTCATGAGCTTGCGTTACAATTGCGGCGGTTACAAAGTGAAGTTGTGGGGTGACTTTATATGGAGTTGGGACCTTTGGGGTTGGGTAAACTTGTCACTCTACTGTAACAGCTGCAAATAGGTTGGGAACAACCAAGCTAGGTTGGCAAGGGTGGCCAACTTGGATGGATTGGTTGGGAAGGGACAAAGGTCAAAGTTGAGGTTCCTATAGGGAGGGAATCTTTGTGCTTATGGGGTTTCCTTGGTTGGGGACTCTCTTGGGACCTTCCCTCTCATCCCTCTCTTCTATCCCAACCTTTCTCTTGCTCCTTCTAATTCCTTGTGAGATTCTTGAACTTTGATTGAACCTTTTGAGATTGAGTTAAGTTCTCCTCCTACAGCTTACCCCCTAATGCGTCGAAAGCCATAGCGTCGCGAATACTTCATCAATCAACGTGATTCAAATTGGAAACGGTAGCTGAGATTAAGAGCTACAACATATCCAAGTTTCGCGACATTCCAACGGCTAGTTTTTCGTCGACGTCGTTTCTTGTAAAGACGACTTTTCTGTCCAGAATTTCGGATTTATATTTTGAGTTATTCTAGCTCCTAAGTTCACCTAGACTCCGTCCTTAATCCTAACAAGAAGAATGTCCTCACCTCATGCCCCTTCAAGCAAGCGGTTGCAGACGTTGCGGCAATGAAACGCGCGCAAGGCTTTTATGGCCGTGGCCATCCTGTTGGAGGCCGCGACCCTATGGGCTTTGAAGGAAAGTACGGCCCTCCACCGAGCGGCGACCAGTGGGGCTTCCGAGGCACTTGCTTTCGCTGTGGCCAGCCGGGCCACAGAGCGAACAACTGCACTGGAAATGGGAGCGGGACACAAGGGCCCGCACCCGTTGTGTGAAAAGTGAATGAGGATTTTTTGTTATTATTTTGTGGACCTCGGAGTAGGTGCCACTGCACCATGGGGTGCTTAGGGCCGCTGGCCATTCCCTAGGTGGGAATAAGAATGAAAAGGCCGCTGGCCAAACCCGATAGAGGGTATGAGTATAGGCCATGGGCCAAGCCCCAAGGGGGGAGAAAACATTTTTTTCAACTTTCCTCGGTAGTGGCACCCTTGGAGGTGCCGGTTCTTTTCGTTTCGTTATTTTTTTTTAAGGTAGAATCACTGATGGGTAGTGGCCAAGGCTTGAGGCCTGAGACTAGAAGCACACCGGGCAAGCATTTCAGTTCTTGTTGATCTCATTTTCATTTAAATATTATTGAAAATTCCAATCTGAAAAAGGCCTCCCAAGGCCTTGGAACCTCACGAGGCAGCTCTGATCTTGGAGCCTAGGAACCTCTCATGGGTGCCCTTGCTACTCCATGGCTAACCTAGAAGAAGGCACAACCAATAATGGGTGGAACCGCATCAAGGCACATGAAACCAATCACTTTGTTTGGCCTACAATGTCCAGCGCGAGGCACATAACTAGCCTTAGCTTCCATCCCATCGTATGCCCTTCGACCAGCCATTGGAGGGACTTGGCTTACTGGAACATACGGTGCTTCGCAAGAGAAAGATGGTGCAAGCGAAAGAGAGAGAGAGAGAGAGAGAGAGAGAGAGAGAGAGAGAGAGAGAGAGAGAGAGAGAGAGAGAGAGAGAGAGAGAGAGAGAGAGAGAGAGAGAGAGAGAGAGAGAGAGAGTGAGAGTGAGAGAGAGAGAGAGGGGGAGAGAGAGAGAGAGAGAGAGAGAGAGAGAGAGAGAGAGAGGGGGAGAGAGAGAGAGAGAGAGAGAGAGAGAGAGAAAGAGAGAGAGAGAGAGAGAGAGAGAGAGAGAGAGAGAGAGAGAGAGAGAGAGAGAGAGAGAGAGAGGAACGTGAGAGAGACAGGAACGTGGGAAAGCAAGAACGTGAGAAAGCAACATCAAAAGTGCATGCGCTGTGGCGTAGCATGCGACCAGCTGCTGGGCCAGATACATATTTCCCTAGTCCCTTACACTCATGTAGTATCAGGCAACGGCCTTCATGGATACATCCCTAGCATAAAAATAAATAAATAAATAAATATGACCACGTTTGGTGGACTTCACGTTTATTCTCCCAAGCATTTGCGAACCTTACCTCATTTTTTGGGTTGGATTCTAGTTGCAGAACTACTCATGCATGACCTTATGGGGCTTGGTGATCCAATCGAATACATAGTGACGGACCAGACGGTCTTAACCATGCGTGGGCGCTTGTGAGACGCACTATCCTGGTGGCGTTCGTGGTGCACCAGTAGCTTGATCATGTCAATCATTGATAGAGGCTACTCGATTCCTTGGAAACAAGGGCCCCCACAACCTTTTCGGAGCACCAACCATGCGGGGGCCCAAATTTACGAGGCATTCACGAAGTCAAGCAAATTCCCAAATTCAAGTACGAGGGACTCAGCCGCATCGTCGAATTGGCGCGTGCGGGTGATTGGATGTTTTCAATCGACCTGAAGTCCGTCACCCCGACATTCGCCCGTCGTACTGGAAATTCCTGGGTTTCCAATTTCGTGGACACTCATATTGTTTCTGCTCCCTTCTGTTCGGGCTGGCTACAGCACCGTTCATCTTCACGCAGTTGATCAAGCAGCTCGCGCGCCGCTGAAGAACAACGGGAGAGCGTGTTATACCGTATGTGGGCGATATCCTCTTCCTTTGTCATTCGGAAGCCAACGCATGAGAAACTTGCAACCAAATTATTGGTGATCTTCGCAATGCGGGCCTCGTGATCAACGCCAAGAAATCCCACCTTCAACCAACCCATCGCTTGCGCTTCCTAGGCTTGGTTCTTGATACCAGAGTCGGTCAATTCTTTGTGGGTCGTGAACGACATGGCATACTGCAAGCTACTATCCAGTAGCTCCTGGAAGCCGGACGCAGCCAGTCCAAGGTCCCCATCCGGCACGTTGCACGGGTGACAGACATGCTTGTTTCAAAGGCTCTAGCACTCGGGGCCACTGCTCGGGCATTTAGCCACGCCCTGCTGCAGACCATCAATGACGCTCCTTCCTGGAATAGCATAGTACCACTATCATCTATCGCTTGCGAGGAGTTGGAATTCTGGTCAACCGAGTTTGACCACTTCAACGGTGCCCCATTTCATGTGTGCAATGTTGTAATTCACGTCGACGCAAGCAAACATGGCTGAGGGGCTACTCTCAACACATTCTCAGGCAACCTTTGTGAGGCCAGCATGAACATGCCCGTCGCTTTGCGACACACGTGCAGTACCCATCGAGAGATAGAAGGGGTATTATGGGCACTGCAGACATACAACGACCTACTCCAAAACAAGCACGTGCTCGTGCACGTGGATAATCAGCGAGTTTTGTTCGTATTGAAGAAGGGTGGCTCATACAGCCCCGATCTCACCATCGCCTGCAAGGAGATCATTCGCACGCGAGTTCGCCTTATTATGGAGTGGATCCCTCGTGAACTCAACCCACATGCGGATGAGCTTTCCAAGATACTTGATCGCGACGACTACACGCTGAAAACGCCGTGGTTCAACATCCTGGATCGGCGCTGGGGTCCCCATTCCATTGATCTCTTTGCCAATGCTAGCAACGCCAAGCTGAGTCATTTCTGTTCTGGTCACCCGCACCCCAAGGCTACAACGATCAATGCTTTCACGATCTCTTGGTCTGCAGAACACGGCTTCGCATTCTCCCCACCTCAATTGATCCCCGCCATCCTCCACCATGCACAGCATACACACACGTCTCTCACCCTGGTAGTTTCCCACTGGCCCAGCGCCAGGTGGTGGCCACTTCTCCAACCATCACCGCCAGCTCGGGCTAGCCCCATAAAAGCTCACATCCGACTCACACACAGCATCCAATGCTTAGTACCAGGCACACACACTAGTGCCTTCTCCGGCTCTGGCCTACCTGATACCCTCATGCTCGCTCCGCAAGTCGCGTTTCCCAAATGTCTGCCTCCCTGCCTATATCGCAACCGGATCTAATTCCAACCCTGCAACGTGAGCTGCTCTCGGTTATGGCACAAACGCGCGCAGACTCTACAATTCGAACTTACAAATCTTACAAGGAGCAGTTTCGTTCCTTCTGCATCAAGGTCAACCCTCCCTTCCTACCAACCTCGGACATGACACTCGCCTTGTACCTTGTCTATGCAATTCAAAACAAGGCCACTCTCTCAGTGACACAACTCACATGCTCGGCTGTCAGCTTAGCTCACCGCATAATTGGGACATATTGCCCCAGTACCGGCCCTGTCATGTCACAATTTCGAGAATTCGCCAAGCGGCAGTGTCCCCAGCCCAATCGGACCAAGGAACCGGTCTCTT